ATTGATTGCTTGATTGAGAGATGGGAGTATCTTATAGATAGTGGTGAATACTTCTTTCCCATATGGTGTTCTCAAAGTTTCAGAATGGATCACACTTGTTGCTCTAATTACAAGGGATATTTCAGAGAGAGGTTATGAAGAAACTTGAGTCTTCCCTGACTTCTTGTGGAAGGAAGATTAGGTAAGGTTACATAGAAAAGGCAACACCTGGCCCAAGACTGGAAAGAAAAGAAGGATTTCATCAGATAATGATGGAGGGAGTAAAGCCTAGGCATAGACCTATTGAATGGGAAGTAGGTATGGAACAGAAGAGGGCAATGACTAGTAGTCCAGTTTTGTTGGGATCTATAGTGAAGCAGAGTAATATGAAATATGGAAAAGTAGTCTGAAGCCACATTATAGAGAGCCTTAAATGCCAAGCTAAAGAATTTTTAATTTATATTCTTCTAGATAATAGTCAAATAAATAATTGACTAAAAGACAAATAAAACAAAATCCAATTGTGCTGATTATTTTTTGACTATTAAAAAGCAGTGGATTAAGTGAACAAAATATGGCCTTGAAGGCTTTTCTTTAACAAGGTGTTTCCCATGCACAAGTCAATATCACATAAGATTCCTTAAATTCAGTGGCAGCAAAGATTGCTTTGATAATCTTCTGATTTCAAATATTAAGCAAGCCATAAAACAGGAAGACATGCTTGCCAAAGATGTTTGCTACTGCCATGGAGTACATTCAGCACAGAATCCAAATGGAAGAGTGTTTCCCTATAGTTAGGTTCTTTAAGTGCTTCTGTTTGTGGATGACATTGTGCTGATTATAAGCCACTAAACATTGCAAAGCCTCCTAAATGAGATCTATTATTACTTAAGTAAGTTCAAATTAATTTCTCTTCAAATAAAAATGCATGTATATGTATATAAAAATGAACATTATTCGAAGTTGAAACCTTCAACTCTGTTAAATATTGTTTGTTTTCAACTACATATTAAATTTAATACAGAAGTAACAAAAGTAACCTGCTAATTCCCTTCTGAACTTCCGTTTACTCATGTCTTTTTAAAATGTTTCATTGATGTTTTTTCTTCTTCTTCTTTTTTTTTATTTAAACATTTGTCTCTACCCACCCACTCTTCCCCAATAGAAACCTTCCCTGGTAACAAATAAATATAGTCAAGCAAAACAAATCAACACTACATTGGTTGTGGTGGGAAAAGTATGCCTCATTTTATACTTTCAGTCCATTATACCTTTGCCAAGAGGTGAGAGGCATGTGTTATCATTATTTTTCTGAAGTTAGTATTATTGATCATTGCATCGATCAGTTTTTGTGTTCTTTAGAATTGTTTTCCTTTACATTACTCCGATCATTGTGTATATTGTCTCTGCATTCCACTCACTTTACTGTGCATCAGTTCGTACAAGTTTTCCCCCATTTCTTTCATTCTGTCATATTGGTTATGTCTTATGATACTGTAATTTTCTTTCAAAAGAGGGAAAAAACCCTTAGTGTGTGAGGTTTGATTTCCAGACTAGTATATACAATTAGCTGGATGACTACAGAGCTTGTCAATTCATACATTTTTCTTAGGAAGACACTGCAAATGGACAATGATCTGAGTCCAGAACAGAAAATAACGAGGCCCACAGGCTGAATGTCTTTTGGCAAATTGCTTAGTTGTTTTAATGACCTTAAAATTCTCCCTGAAACAAAGGCCTATATCTTTACATCAATACATACACACATACATACACACACACACACACACACACACACATATTTAGAGATGTTGTATGGCTGCAAATCAAGAGAATAATACATAGTCTTTGAAGAACTGAAGTTGAGGATCACTGAGAGGTCCATCGAAAGGTATGTAGTGGGTGTGAGTAAGCTTACGGCACATTGCCAATGAAAAATAAAGCAGATTATCTAAAGGTTACAATCAAAGAAAATGTAGGATGGGAAGAAAAAAGTGAAGCCTATCATTTAGGAAAGGAAAAGATAACAGAAAAACCTGCAAAATGATCCATTTGTATGCCTCCAATGTCAAGACATGGAGAAGTCTCCAGCATTTTGGGTAGCAGATTCATGAAGGAGCATGGGCATGATTGTATAAACATGGATAGACTGGTATTATAGATTCTATATCTATATCTATAGATTATAGATTCACTGGAATATTGAAGAAGCAATAGGGGCACTGTGTGTATAATGTATTTCCTCTACAAAGCAACCAGATTTGAATAATTATTTTTAATTGTGTTGAGTATGATGTCTACATATTTGAATAATATGGGAAATGGAGGGGTAAAGGGCCAATTATTATTGCTTTACTCTATTCATTCTTCCCACCCCCCACACCTCCGCCCCCAACTTCAAATTGCTGATGCAGGGACAGTTTGCAATGCTGTTGTATTCTGTTTGCCATAAGGAAGACTTAATTATAATGAAAGAAGAAGTTCCACAAATTCAGTCGTGTATAGAGAGGAAGTGGTTTTCACTTCAGAGAGCAATGTGAAGCTTAGTAATTTCTGTAAGAAGAATGGTAATTGTGAGAGAATATATACAGTACGTGTAATTAATGAGAATGCTTTGAAATTCATAGAATAATTTTTCAAAGAACCTCAAAAGCTTTAGTAATATTCATCTGAACCTCATATCTTAGTGTGAAACGCAAGTTAACAATTTCCATTTTTACAAATAAGGCAACTGAGAAACTTGGGTAAAAGGCCTTGTCCAAAGATAGACTAATATCAGGAACAAAAAACACACGTGTTTGATAATTCATATGTCTTCATTCTGTCTCTGACTCTGTCTTTTCTGCTTGGTTCTTGGTAATGCAACATTTTTTAGCACCCTGGACTGATGGTCACACAACATGCAGTATGGCTGGAAAGCAGGTCCAACGTTGGAAAAATGACCTTTTGATTCTGGTGATTAGATTCTGAATACGCCTAGTGTGACATTAATGTAACTAATACTGAAGTAATGCTACATTTATCTTTCTGCCATTTTTGTGGAGCAGCACTGAAGAAAAACTTACTTGAAGGAAAACATCACTTCCTGAAGTTTTCTCATTTGTAAAATGAGGAGGGCTGAACTAGATGGTCTTTAAGATTTCTTTCTGACTCCTATAATTTGGTTCTCTGTTCTGTCATATGGCAATGCAGGTTGATGAGAAGACCATTGCCATCCTTTCAAGGGAAAGTCTGTGAGAAGTTGGTATTCCAACTCCACCCATCCCTTTGAATTCCTCTCCATGGACAGTCAACAGCCTTGATCCTCTGGTAGTGTAACCTAAGATAAGAGGCTTTGGTCCTCAAATGTCCATATTTTATAAGGCAAGTGTATGAGAGTCTAGTCAAGCCAAGAAACATTTATCAAGTACCTGTTATGTGCTGGACACTACTAAATAAACACTGGACAGACAGAGAGGCAAAAAACAGTTCCTGTCTTCAAAGAACTCAACATATAATGGGGGAGACAACATGAAAAGAATTATGCACAAATAATATATGTAAGATAAATTGGAAGTAATCTCAGAGGTAAGTCACTAATATTAGGGAGAAATCCGGTTTCTCCCAAAAGGAGGGTTTTTAGCAGGTACTTGAAGCCAAGAGGCAGACACAAAGAATGTGAAGATACACACACATACATAAATATATACGTATATACACATCTATCTATCTATCTATCTATCTATCTATCTATCTATCTATCTATCTATCATCTATCTATCTATCTATCTATCTATCTATCTATCTATCTATCTATCTATCTATGACTATCTTTTGCCTTTTTTTGCATCCACAGAGCTTAGCACAGTGCCTGACATTTAATAAACGTTTACTGAATTGAATATAACTTGAGGCACATACTGATGTTATGAATCAGAGTTTTATTTACTTTTTTGCACTAATAATGGATGCCCCAGAAATAGGAGGCATATAAAAAAGCAAGAGAACTGAGGACTTGAAATAGCAGGTTACATTCAACTGGGGGAAAATATCCCCAAGTGTTCCCGGTGCTGACGAGACTCTAATGAGTACAGTACTTATGCACCTATTCCCTGAAGCAGGCAGGTGCGTGGTTCTGGACTTCAGAGTTCTTGACAGCCGGGCTACAGCGGGTTTGTGACGGACAAGGTCGGTTTGGTGCTGGCTTCAAACCCAACTCTCGAAGCCTGTGCTGCAAGTGCCCAATCAGTCACCTTCGCCAGCCAGTGACCCTTTATCTCCCAGGGAGTGTGGGAAATAGTGCAGGTCCAGTGTGCGATAGTCCCAACAGGAGCAGCTTGATCCCCAAGAGTCTTGACCTCTAGGGCGGCCGCGGCAGGGCGTGTGTGCGTGCATGTGTATATATGCGCGAGCGCGCGCGCGTGTGTGTGTGTGTGTGTGTGTGTGTGTGTGTGTGTGTGTGTGTGTGTGTATGTGTATGTGTGTATAGGGCCAGGCACCTGGCGGGACCTCGAGCTGAGTCACCAAGGGGCGCGTGCCCAGGTTCTCCGGGCTCTCCTCCCCCTCCCCCTTAGCCGGGCGCCGTCCTCCCCTCCTCCCTCCCCCCACCCCAGGGCGCACTCTCCCCTCCCGGCCCTCGCCCAGAGCTGCCGCCTGAGGGCCCGAGGACCAGGTGTAGCTACCGGGAGAGGCGTCCCGGGCTCCCTCCCCACCCCCAGCTCTTCGGCACTTCCTGGTTTGCCGAAGGTGCCGGCGCCGCAGCGGCCGCCCTCCCTCACAGGAACTGAGGGGCCGGAGCTTTGGGCAGCAGCTGGAGCCGGCGGGGGCGGCGCCGCTGTCAGAGAGAAGCGCAGTGACCAGGGCCGGGCCGAGCCGGGCTGGGCTGCGGGACCCGCTACGGGGGACGCCGCCTCCGCCGCCGCCGCCTCCGCGGGCAATGGCCCCGCAGACTCCCGCGCTGTGAGCGGGTCGCAGTGCAGCCGCCAACGCCTCCGGCCGAGACCACTAGCCCCTGCGCTGACGGAGCTGCACCTCCAGGAGGGGCCGACCCCGGGGCCAGTTGCGTGGATCTAGGCGAGCAGCGGAGCGGGCCGAGCTCGGACTCGACATGTAATCATGGACTGCAGGACCAAGTAAGTGAGGGGCGGGGGTCCAGCTTCCTCTTAGGACCCTCGGGTCCTGCTTTCTCCTCGCCCCGCCCGTCCTAGCCCAGGGGATGGGGGTGGACTAGGACGGAGAAGCCACCTCGGAGGGCTCTGCGGGAGGGGGCGACTCACGGGGAGAGCTCCCGGGGCGGCCGCTTCATTCCCTCTGCCCGCCCCCTGGGGAGGGAACTAGGCCTCAAAGCCTTCCTTCCCCAGGACTCCGCGTCTCCGGCGCTGGGCGGCGGGGATCGAGCTGCCGGAGCAACCCGAGGGCACCCCATTCCGCGGCGGCTGCAGCTGCGGCTGCCCGAGTCCGGGAGTTCACGTCCTTCCACTGGGGAAGGAAGTGGGGAGTGCCTCCGGGATGGATACACCCAGGCTTGGAAACCTCATCCCCCGAGGGGTGTGTGTGTGTGTCGGGGGGAGGGGGAAGGGGAGGGGGGGGAGGCTCGGCTCCTCTCCTCTTGACATCCTTCCCCAACCTCCCCCGCCCAGCTGGGGTTTCTTTTTCTTTATCTAGTGTGTCAGACTTAATGTGTGTGTGGTGTGTGGTCTGAAAGGTGTCACTTTTTACTTTATTGTTCTGAAGGCTTTCCAGTCCTCGAGATAGAACCACTAAGAGTTTGTGCCTAGGATGTCTTGGGTGGGTGGGGGTGTTCGATATTTCTTGATATAGAGGCTCTGTCCACAAGGTATTCTCAAACTTAACTAGCAAAATTAGGGTGTTAAAGTACCAGAGGGTACTGCTTTCTTCATAATGCTATATGGCTTGTTATCTAGTATTGTTTACTTTGGCACATAAGGATTACTGAATGGACATGATAGGTATGTTTCTGGAAATTATAATGTAAATAAGATAATATTAAGACCTAAAATTCGTACAGTGTTTTAAAGTTTGCAAAATGCTGTATATGTTATCTTCACAGTGCTATTGCTAATGGTATAATTGTTTAATTGGGCACATAAGGATAACCGAGCACGACAGGTTTATTTCTGGGAATTATAACGTTATGCAAATAAGACAAAAATAGCTAGCATTTGTGTAGCGCTTTAAGGTTTACAAAGTGCTGTATATGTTGTCTTCACACTGTTATGGTTAGGGATACAATATTGTTTAATTTGGCAATAAGGATAACTGGGCATGGCAGGTTTATTTCTGGGAATTATAACATTATGTAAATAAAACAGAATAATAGCAAGCATTTTACCTAGTGCTTAAGGTATTCAGAAAACTGTACATGTTACTTCATTTTATCCTAAAAAAGCTTCTGAATTTTCTTAGTAAAGTTGTTCAGTAAAGTTTAAATGACATAACATGTAGAGTGTTTTACAAGCCTTACAATAATGCTAAATGCCAGCTAGTATTTTGTCGACTAAGTAGGGTTACTTCTTTCTTCCTTTCTCTCTGACCCTTTCAAAATAACATACTTACATTTGTGTGAAATTGCCTCCTTCTCACCTTAAATGTTGATATATTTAAGTGAAATTTAATTTTAACATTTGGGAGATAACTGAGCAATTTTTATGTATCACCCAGTGAATGTGAACAGTGAAATAATTTAGAATTGTATGTAAGTTTTCTATGGCCAGTATTTATGCTTAAGTAATGATTGGCTCTTTACTAGAAGGCTTTGAATGTGAACAGGTATATAGTAATAATTTAGAATTATATAACTTGTTAGAAGTTTTCTTTGGTCCTGTATTTATGCTTAAGTAATGACTAGCTTTCCACTAGAAAGCTTTGCAAAGGTTGAAGGAAATGATCTTGACACTCATCACCTTTCCCCCACCTCTAGCCCCTCCATTACTAATACTGTGGGAGTGTAGAATCCTTCAGAATTGTCTCCTTGAAATAAATTGGGAGTGAATGAGCAGGGAAAGAATGCTTAATCCAAAAATATTTGATTTGTCACTTTCTCTGTGTTCTATGGCAATAGAGATTTTGTAATTCACAAACTTTTTTTTTTTGCTAATTTGTATGTAGCATTAACTTCTGAAAGGAAGTATGAACAATTTTAAAGCAAAGTACCAAGATATTAACAGTCCTGGAATCGATGTGAACAGAAGTGGTTTAATCTTTTCTGTTCTATCAAAAAAGGAGACCACTATGGGTTCTGTCAAGAAGACCTCAGTGTGTTTTTTACAAATTTCATTCTTAGATGAATCCAGTACTTAGGTAGATGGCCAGACAAACAAAACCAACAATTTTTCCCAAAGGATAATTAATATAAAAATAGAATACTTTGTCATAGCTCTAAAGCTTCTTATCAGATAATCTAATAATAAATATGCAAAACTTCAAATGTAAGCAAATTTATGAATATGCTAGTTAGCATTTTTATAATGGTCTAACTTTTGGTGTAAAGTTTTGTGACTTAGTGAAACAGCTTCTGTAGATCATATTTGGCCTTTAAATTTTTTTTCTTTCCTTAGATTATTAAGTCTTTGAAGGATTAGTGAGGCTTTTTTGTAGATTTCCTTTTTATAAGATAGAGTAAAGCATTTTTAAGAAGTCAAGGAGGATGAAAATTTGTAACTAAAATATGTAATTTTATGGAGTAAACTGAAAAGAGGAAAAACATTATTTTACTATTAGGAAACTTAAGTTTGAAAAAATTGTCTTTCTGCATAAATTTAACTGAGTTCTTTTCCTTATAGAGAAAATCCAGAAAGAACATTCGACTTGGTATTGAAGGTGAAATGTCATGCTATTGAGAATGAAGGTACTTGTCTTTTCTTAAGAGATTTATTTTCTTTTATAAACATGTTGATGTTGAGTTTGAAACACGATAATTCCAACAATAAGAGTGGCAAATATGTGCTCTGAAGCTGTCTCAGATTATCATTAGCAAAATACTGTGAAATATGCAAATCATATCGGTATAGCTTGAATTTCTTTTAGTTTATTTAGTAATTTCAATAGGTTTACTTTTATCTTCTTTTCATGTATCCCTGCAAATTTTTTTTTTGGTCAGATCTCCCATGATCTTTGCAGAAAATCTTTCCAGATCTTCCATGATGTCTTGCCAATACCAATGGAAATTCCACCAGTTTTACTCTAATGCTTCTTTCCAAGTGGTGTAGGGTAGAAAGCTGATCTTAGTGTTAGGAAGACTTGGATCCAGGTTCCCCCTCTGATATATTGGCTGTGTGACCCTGGGCAAGTTACTTGACCTCTCAGTGCCTCAGGCAATTCTCTAAAACTATAAAGTTGCTGAGAAGATGCTGTTCTGCATTTTTAGAGGATGCTCCTCAAGGACAGCTGCCTATATGGATCTAGTTTAAAAAAAAAAGAAATAAACATACTAGACTTTTTAATTTGTTTTGCTCCTGCTCCTCAGCAGTTTTTGAGTTGATGAATTGGAGGATTATCATTAATCAGTTTTCTACTGCCATTCATGAAAATAACGGAGGAGAGAGACATTGTAGTATGGTTCGATGAATGCTGGATTTGGAATCTGGAGAGACTTAGATTCACATCATATCTCTGGCATTTACTAATTGTATGATTACTGACTAGTCATTTAACCTTCCTTAGCCTTATTTTATTAATCTGCAAATTGGGTATAATACTTACAGTTTTTCTCTCTCAGGGTTGTTGATAGACTCTAATGAAATAATGCATGAAAAAGTGCTTTGTAAATTTTCTTTATGTGTCTGCTATTATTTGTGAGTCTTATTAATTATTCTGAGGTCTTTGGTTTAATGGGGGAAAGAAGCAATTTCTCTTGCTTATTGCCTTTTAAGCTAGCATGATTTTTATGAAATTGCAAGATTTGTTGGTCATATGTAGGGTTATCAATTCCTAGATAGGTTTTTATTAGCATTTTGGTTGGGTATAGAATTCTGTAGGATTCAGGTAGACACTTCGTGAAAAGTCTATGACCATTTCTTTTAGCTTTAGATACCAAACTCAGCAGCAAATGAGATGGAGAGAAGCATATTGGTGGCATCGTGCTCCTAAATTGCTGGAACCACTTACATTAAAGAGGACAAACTGGTTGGCTCATAGGAAAACTAGGCTTGCTTTCATATCTTAAAATCTTAGTACAGCTACCTATTTCATGACATCTCTGACTTAAGCCATTGAAGTGGAAGGACTTGCCTATTGGCAAGTTGTATTTCAAAGTGTTGTGTAGCTTTATCCAATCTTTGAAGTGCCTTTGTGATATTTGTTCATTTTCACTCTTCTCATGACCACCTAAGTTCTTCCTCCAAATTCAACTGGACATACCATTTCATACTTCCTCTTCCTCCTCACCCCCGTTTGAAATACTAAACTGCCATATTTAGACTTTTGGTCCAAAGTTTCTAGGACATTTTGCTAGATAATTGGTTCTGGTGAGTGAAGTGGTGCTCATAAGTAAGGTTTCTAAAGTATACTTTGGGGGAATATACAATGCAAAAAACTTTTAAAATGTAGGCTACAGTTATTTGTTGTAGAATAATGTTTAGCCTATATATCACAGTCCTTTTTTTGTCAGTCTGTCAACAAGCATTTGTTAAGCACTTACTATGTTCCAGGCACTTGGATACAAAGAAAAACAAAAACAGTGTCCCTACTCTCAAGGAGGTCACATTTTAATGGAGGAGACAATATATAATAACTATGTATATGTAAGATACATAAAGGGTAAATTGAAGGTAATCTTAGAGGGAAGGAACTATGATAGGAGGAATGAGGGACTAAGAAAGACCTCTTGCTCAATGTAAGAATTGAGCTGAATTTTGAAGAAATTAGGGAAACTAGGAGTTAGACCTGTGGAGGGTAGCATTCCAGTCATAGCATAGATGAAATTAAGAGGAGTGTCCTATGAGAGGACTTTATATTTGATTACAGAGATAATAGGGAGCATTTGAAGTTTATTCAGTAATGGGGTGACATAGTCAGATCTGAGCTTTAGGAAAATGATTTTTTAAGCTGAGTGGAGGATGGAATGGGGAGCAGAGAGGCTTGAGTAAGAGCAATTAATTGGGTTACTGCAGTAGTGTAGGTAGGAGGTGATAAAAACCTACATCAGGGTGGTGGCTTTTTGAGTGGATGTAAGGGATGTATATGAAAGATGTTGAGAAAGTAAAATGATAAGACTTACCAACAGAATGGATGTCTTGCGTGAGTGTAAGTGAATAGAGGATGACACTGAGGTTGCAAGCCTGGTTGACTGAGAGAATGTAGATCTCATTGTTAGTAATAGGAAAGTTGGGAAGAGAGGGGGAGCATTTTTTTGGGGGAAGATAAATGTTTTGTTTTATGCATGTTGAATTTGAGATCCCTTTGGGGTATCCGGTTTGAGATGTCTAAAAGGAAGTTGGTGAAATGAGACTGGAACTTAACTTGGGAGAAAGATTTAGGCCAGCTTGATGGATCTGGGAATCATCTGTATAGATATGATAATTCAACCCATGGCACTTAATGTCACATTAAGTGAGATAACATATGGAGAGAAAAGATGGACCCAGAACAGAGTCTTGGGAGATACCTACTGTGTGATCCAGAAAATACAAAAACCAAAAAAACAAACAAACCTGAGAAGTAGTCCTCAGATATTTAGGAGAAGAATAAGGAAAAGAAAGAGGTGTTATGAAAGCCTAGAGAGGAGAGGATATCCAGGTGAAGAGCGTTATAGATAGTTTCAAAGGCCAGGAAGGTTTAGGTCAGGAAGGATTAGGATTGAAGAAAGGCCCTTAAACTTGACAATTAAAAGATTATCATTACTTTTGAGGAAAGCAGTTTCAGTTGAATGATGAGGTTAAAAGTCATATTGCAGAGGGTTTAGAAGCCAGTAAGAAGAGACAGGTGGAGGCACATAGCGTAGAGAGCTTTTTCCCGTTCAACTGAGAAATGGGAAGGAGAGAGCTAGGACAATATCTAGAAGGAATGGTTGGATCAGGTGAGGATTTTTTTTTTAAGGTGGGGGAGATATGTGTAATTGTAGGCAACAGGGAAGGAAGAGCCTATAGATAAGGAGAGATTGGAGGTAAGAGAGAAAGCAGGGATAATATGGGGGCATTCTGTTGCAGAATTTGGGAGGGGACTAGTTAGGATTCCTAGGTTGAGGAATCATCAGTATGTATGTTCAAGTACCTTTGAATGAGGGTAGAAGTTGTGGTGGAAAGAAATACTGTGTGCCAGGTGTTTAACTCATTAAGAAAGGAGAATGCCATCAGGATCAATAGATAATGGCTGCCAGGATTTTGAATAAATGATAAATTTGGATTGAATGAATTTCAGAGAAGGAGTGGTTGCTCAGTGGTGATGGTAAGAGGAAGAATCTGGAAATGACAATGGGGATCAAGTCTCCTACCATAACTAGTGAGTCAAGGGTCCGAGTGAACATGCAGCCAGTAATTTTTGTATGATTTTATTTTTCCACTGAGATTTTGGAGCATTTTAAAACCCCTTACTATTTGTAATCTATTCCATATTCCATAGTTCAGGGAAGAAAGTCTAGCTGATTATTGATTTTTCAGTGTGTCTTTTTAGCTGCTTTTCTTTCTACTCTTTTAATATTTTCACTAAGTCTTATTAGCAATCCATCTATTGTCCATTTCAGTTGATAACACTGGAGGTGAAACTAATGGTTAATATGTAAATTTGGGATTACCTGCTGATTTCAATGATTTATTCTATCTCTGTTTCAATTAGTATGGATGGATCAGTTTTCAAAGTTTAAAAAAAAGCTACTTAATTTAATTCCAGTAATAGTAGCCCTATCTCTTTCTGTTAAGAAAATTTTTTTACTTAAAATCAAAGATGTGTATTTCAGAAAGTTATTTTTTGCAAATAATATCAATTAAGTGGGCTAAAAAAGCAAATTATTGTTATTTCAAGTTGAGAAATTTGTTTTTCATAATATTTTCATATTTCATTTGCATAATAAGTAATAAAGTTCTTCAAAGACAGAAAGCTGTTTGAATAGTTGTTTCTCTATAAACATCTGGTTTCTTCTGTATTTGCTTTGACAGGACTTATATAATTTGTTTACAGTTGAACACATTTGATATATTACTATTTAAATTGGTATTAGTGAAATTCTTGAGGTGGTAGTAGCAAACCATAATACAATGTCAGAGATTGTTACAGTTATCCCTTCCACATTGTGGGGTTTAGGGATGTGGTGCCCCTGTGATCTAGAAAATACATGAAAAATTTTTGGCTCTCCCTTCATACCAGAGAAGTCTTAATTATTAGCATATATGTTGATAGTATACAATAGTGTACTTTTTTATGCATGTCTGAGTTTCTAAACTTTTTCTGTGTTATCTGCTGGGCTTCATGTGTCATCTGCAGCTTCTGCAAAATTCACATTTAATTTCTTGTGCTGACCCATGATTTAGCAGAATCATGTTGGGGAACATCAATATGTGGAAGGGATAACCCCTTTGATCAGATTTTAAGTGTGAAATCCATTATTCTTGGTGGATCTAATTTCTTCATGGAGTTAATAAAATTGCTGTTTTTATATGAGTTGGTGTAACACTTCTCACATTTTATTGTGTACTTCACAACACTTTTCTTTATTCAGCAAGGATTTATTAAGTACCTTTTATGGACTGGGCATTCTTCTAGGCGCTTGAGAAGCAAAGACAAAAATTAAACAGTTCCTGCCAAAATTATCTTCTGTTTGGTATCATGGAACAGCATGTACACAGATAAAATATTGAGTAAATAAATGCAGAGTACTTTCTGAGGGTGGTAATAGCAACTGGAGGAATCAGGATA